TGTGGGGTGTTTTTTGTCATTGTTGGTCAGTGTTGTTGGTCTTAGGGGCTGGGCACTGTCCCTGGGCTTTTTTGTTCAAGTGCTCTACCACTTTGAGACACAGCACCACTTCCAGTTTTCTGGTGGTTAACTGGAGAAATTGTCATTGGCTTTCCTGCTCAGGCTGGCTTCAAATCCCGATTCTCAGCCTCCTGAGTAACTAGGATTACAGGCATGAGCCACTGGTGCCTGTCTCATTTTGTAATACACTAATACACTTGTATTAATTACTTGAGACAGGTTCTATAGTCTTTTTTTGGGGGGTCCGGTCGTGGGGCTTGAACTCTGGGCCTGGGCGCTGTCCCTCAGCTCTTCAGCACAAGGCTAGCACTCTACTACTTGAGCCACAGCGCCACTTCCGGCTTTTTTGTTTTTGTTTATGTGGTGCTGAGGAATCAAACTCAGGCATGCAAGGCAAGCGCTCTACCACTGAGCCACCTTCCCAACCCCAAGGTTCTGAAGTCTAATAGTCCTCTTGCTACAATTGGGATTATAGGTGTGTACAACCACACCCTGCTGTGTGACTTTTTTTGGGGGGGGGTCCGATCATAGGGCCTGAACTCTGGGCCTGGGCGCTGTCCCTCATCTCTTTAGCTCAAGGCTAGCGCTCTACCACTTGAGCCACAGCGCCACTTCTCAGGCATGCAAGGCAAGCGCTCTACCACCGCACCATCTTCCCAGCCCCTGTGTGACTTATTTTTATATGTATGTATGTATTGTTGTGGGTCTTGAACTTTGGGCCTGTGCACTGTCCCTGATCTCTTCAGCTCAAGGCTAGTGCTCTACCACTTGAGCAACAGCACCACTTCTGGCTTTTTCTGCTCACATGGTGCTGAAGAATCGAACCCAGGGCCTCATGTATGCAAGGTAAGCACTCTACCACTGAGCCACCTTCCCAGCCCCTGTGATATCTTTTTAAATTATATTTTTCACTGACTGTTTTTGACTAGAATACATATATACTGTTGAACAATCTTCAAAAAAAATTTTTTTGGGTCTGGTCATGGGACCTGAACTCTGGGCCTGGGCGCTGTCCCCCAGCTCTTCAACTCAAGGCTACAGCTCTACCACTTGAGCCACAGCACCACTTCCAGCTTTTTTCTGTTTGCTTATGTGGTGCTGAGGAATCCAAGCCAGGGCCTCATGCATGCAAGGCAAGCACTCTACCACTGAGCCACCTTCCCAGCCCCTCAAATGTTAAACATACGAGATAATTCTACATGCTCTCTATATAATTACCAAACTGAGTTGCATGGTAAATCACAGCCATTAGTTGTGTGCCCAAATTACTGTCATCTTTGTATTCCATCAGGAATTCAGTGTTCTAGTCTGGGAGTAAAATAGCTGATCCTAAGCTGATGTTCTAAGAAACCCTTAATGTTTTTTTGTTTGTTTCTTTTTCAGCAACTCAAATTTAGGAAAAAATGTATGAGTCACAGCTGAAGTCTAAAACATAGCCCTGGAACTCACTTTGCAGTTGCCCAGTGAACCATGGGGGCTAATGGAATACTAGAGGTGACACACTTAATCATGTCATTTACTCTTTAAGTTCAGTATTCTACTCCCAGTTGTAAGAATGGTTCACACTTTCAATGATAGGAAAAGAAAAAAAGAATGTGGCTTAGTGGAAGAGTACTGACCTAGCATGCACAAAGCCCTCAGTACCACATAAACAGAAAAGGCCAGAAGTGGTGCTGTGGCTCAAGTGGTAGAGTGCTAGCCTTGAGCAAAAGAAGCTCAGGGACAACGCCTAGGTCCTGAGTTCAAGCCCAGGACTGGCAAAAGAATAAAAAAAAACAAAAACAAAAACAAAGTATTTTGTAGCTGGGCACTGGTGGCTCACGTCTGTAATCCCAGCTACTTAGGAGTCTGAGAACTGAGGATCATGGTTCAAAGCCAGCCCCAGCAGGAAAGTCTGTGAGCCACTAGAAAACTGCAAGTGGCACTGTGGCTCAAGTGGTAGAGGGTTAGCCTTGAGCTGAAGAGCTGATGGACAGCGCCCAGGCCCAGAGTTCAAGCCCCATGACCAATCAAAAAAAAAAAGTATTTTGTAAATCCAGAATGTGTCCTAATTTCTTGTTGTTCATTTTAAGAAAAGAGATAAACAATATGTATTTTGATCATTGAATGCTAGTCATATAGAACAGAAGCATAGGGTCTGGGAAGGTGGCTCAGTGGTACAGTGCTTGCCTCCTGTGCATGAGGCCCAGGATTCGATTCCTCAGAACCACATAAACAGAAAAAGCTGGAAGTGGTGCCGTGGCTCAACTGGTAGAGTGCTAGCCTTGCGCTGAAGAGCTGAGGGACAGCACCCAGGCCCAGAGTTCAAGCCCCATGACCGAAAAAAAAAAAACAAAAAAAAAAAGCATATACTGTTAATTTGTTGTATATTGTGTCAATGTGCACCTAGAAACCCCAGCAGTAGTGAATTTACTATGTTCTACAAGTTTAAACAATCATGAAATTATGCAGTCCATTTAATTGATAAAGTGGGAAAAGTTAGCCAACTCTCATCTTCCTCATTTTCAATACAAATCTCATTTTTGGTTGGTTTGGCATCCCTTTTTCATTTCAATTCTAGTTCTTTTCTGTATAAATATTTACATGTGTATTCATTTGTTGAGATAATTTAGCCTTTAAATGGACAGCTCATGTATAAATGATTAATAAAAAGGAAAACACTTGTAAAAATCTGTTTAGCCTGAGGTTAAAAAGAACTGCAAATGTAGAAAGTGTGAAATGTGATTGCCAACCATAGATCAAATAACTGTACTTCTTTAACAATTTGACATCATAAAAATCAATTATAAAATCATAACTTATTTACTGGATAAGCTGAACAAAGTTATATGTATATTTTCTTCCTGGACATCAAGTGGTTTTCTTTTTGTGTGCTGGTTTTGGTTCTTGAACTTAGGGCCTGTCTTGAACTTTTACTGTTGCTTAGCCTTTTTGTTCAGGGCTGGCACTCTACCACTTGAGCCACAGTTCCACTTCTGGCTTTTTGGTGGTTAATTGAAGAGAAAAGTCTCACAGACTTTCCCACTTGGGCTGGTTTCAAACCTCAATCCTCAGATCTTAGCCTCCTAAGTAGCTGGGAATCCAGGCATGAGCTATCTGCCTCCCATTACCTCACCCTCTTCCATTCCATTAGTGCTTTTTTTTTTTTTTTCTTATGTCAAGAGTTTCAACATTTTGTGGGGCTGGGATGGTGGCTCCGTGGTAGAGTGCTTGCCTTGCATGCATGAGGCCCTGGGTTCGATTTCTCAGCACCACATAAGCAGAAAAAGCTGGAAGTGGCTCTGTGGTTCAAGTGGTAGAGTGCTAGCCTTGAGCTGAAGAGCTGAGGGACAGCGCCCAGGTCAGAGTTCAGGCCCCACCACCACCACCACCACCAACAACAACAAAGAAAAAAAGCCTTTCAACATTTAAAAAAGTTATAAAGAGGCTTGTGGTCCCAAATTGATGCTCTTCACTCTCCAGTTTTGGTTTTTCTTTTTTCTTTTTGGTTTGGAGATTCCAACTGAAATCAAATCTTTTGGTTCTGGTCGGGTCACATGAAAAAGAACACTGCAATGGGTTCGGATAGAAATGCTAAGGACCAGGTGACGATTTTACTTTTTTTTTGGGGGGGGGGAGGTCAGTCAGGGTCTTGAACTTTGGGTCTGGGCTCTGTCCCTGAGCTCTTCAGCTCAAGGTTTGCGCTCTACCACTTGAACCACAGCGCCACTTCCAGTTTTCTGGTGGTTAATTGGAGGTAACAATGTCATGGATTTTCCTGCTGGGGCTGGCTTTGAACCACGATCCTCAGATCTTAGCCTCCTGAATAGGTAGGATTACAGGCGTGAGCCACCGGCGCCCGGCACGGTTTTGCTTCTATCCAGCATGAATTAAGGATGGAATGAAAACGGGTCATCACCCAACAACCGGCCCTTGCAGAACTCTAAACAAGTAATTCTGGACGGCCGGAGCGCACTGCCACGTACACGCTGAGACGCTGTAAAATACAGCAGGCATCCTTCCCAAGCAACGCTTCTTTGTGTCTTGGGACTTATTCCCTACACGCTTCACCCAGGGGCCCAAGCACTGGAGGAAGAGGAGAGCTAGGCTACCATCTCCTCCCTTGGTACCTCCAGGGCGATCGCTAAGACGGGAACACCGGCCCTTCTTCCCGCTTCTGGCCGGGCCCCGACAGACCCCACCGCCCTGCGGCGGGCGAGGCCGACGGCCCAAGGAGATCTAAGCCTGTGTGTGGCGATCGCTCTCCAAGCTGCTCGGGTCCACCCTTGTCCCCCGAGTAATGATAGAACCCAGCGAGGCTCCGTACCCCGCCGACGAGGTATTGCTCAAGTCCCTTCCCCAGCCTAGGAGCCATGGCAAGCCCCGCCTTTCCCCCCAGGCCCAGGCTTCCCATCAGGGCCCACCCTTTTGGGGCTCCCCGCTGCCCCCGAAACCAATCTAGAACCCAGCAACCAAGCTGAGCGCCATCCATTCTCTCCTTGGCTTTAAGTGCAGCGCCCCACCCGGGGCCTGGGGACAGGAGTGCAGGGTTAGGGGAAGGGGGGGTGACCGGACGACTCCAGAGGGGCCAAGGCCCCCACACTCACCATCCTCCCGCCGAATCCCTCCTCCTCCGCCTCCGCCTCCTCCTCCTCCGGCCTCCCTCGTTACCAGGGCAACTGCTCCGGCGCCGCCCCCGACGTCCCTCGCACGCTCAGCGGAGGAGCCAAGCAGCGATACGGGGCGGGGCCCGGAGCCGCTATTCCCTCAGTACGCATGCGCACGGAAGCCCTGCCCCCACCGCGTGGGCAGTCCTAGAGGCGCTGGAGGCGGGGCTGGCTCCTAGTGACCCCGGGAATGGGGAAAACGCGCTCACGCGGCTGGCGGGAGCTTCCCGAGCTGTGATTGGCCGGGAAGGAGGGGCGTGGGGGTGGCGAGGGGTGGTTCTCCAGCCCCGGCAGGCGGGGCTGGCGGGCCAGGAGTGTGAGGTGGGCGCTGTGGTGGCCAGTGACTCCGAACGTCCCTCCTTCCGAGCAGGTAAGGGACCTGGAGAGTGAGGTTCATCGCCACACCTGCCTTCAAGGGCCACATGCCCCTAGGGAGTTTACATCTGTCCTGAATTTGCTAGGCAGCTTTGCAGCACATTGGATGCAGGAGCCACGTGGCGCTAGGACTGCCTGGGGACCCCTCTGGCTCCTGTTGCCTTCGATTGTCAAGCTTTGGGGAGGAGGGGTTAGGGCCTTATGTCAGTCCAGGATGGGGGATGCCCGCTTGCCGGAGGTTGGTCGCTTGTGGAAGAGGGCTACAGGCAGACTGGTCAGTGCCACCTGACCCCTGAGGTAAGCAGACACCAAGAGTGAAAGGTGTTTGGGAAAGGCTGGTTTTGTTAAGCTACATCTGGCAGGAAATGTTAGCTCCCACCCCACCCCTCACATGCAGAGGACCATAAGAATTAGTCCTTTTTTTTGGGGGGGGGGTCAGATCGTGGGGCCTGAACTCTGAGCCTGGGCGCTGTTCCTCAGCTCTTCAGCTCAAGGCTAGCGCTCTACCACTGAGCCACCTTCCCAGCCCCAAGAATTAGTCCTTACCTGTGGGCCAGCATAGGTTATAGACACTGGAGACAATCCAATGTCGTGGAAAGGACACCTTTCCCAGTGACCAGTTTTGCATGCAAGATCCATTCCATTTTCACAACCCTAGAAATTGGTTATTGCAAGTTGATAGGGTTAGGATTTGAATGGACTAGAATGGGGAGGCAGGTGCTACATCTCAGAGTGTTTTATTTTGTTTGTTTTTTTGTCGGTCGTGGGGCCTGAACTCTGGGCCTGGGCACTGTCCCTCAGCTCTTAAGCTCAAGGAAAGCACTCTACCACTTGAGCCACAGCGCCACTTCTAGCCTTTTTTCTGCTTATGTGGTGCTGAGGAATTGAACCCAGGGCCTCATGCATGTGAGGCAAGTATTCTACCACCGAGCCACCTTCCCAGTCCCCATCAGAGTGTTTTATGTCTGTGATGTAAACCAAAACTTTTCTGAGAGCTAAATGAAGTCCAAGAGTAAATGATACACCTGAAAGTGTACCTCTGTGTGTGTGCGTGCACATGCTCACACACACATGCACTCCTGTTGCTTATTCCAGTGGGCCATAAATAGAGCATTGTCTGTCACAAAGGAAGTATGTATTGTTAATAGTTTAATAACTTTTGGGGCTCATCTTTCTGAATCCTCTCCTAGTAGACTTTTCAGTCTAGTTAAGATTACTGGAGCATTCAAACCCAGTAGCACCATGGCCACTAAAAAGAAGAAGATTGGCATGAAGAAAGATTTTCTCGGAATGGTCTTTTAACTATGCATTCAACTAAACACATTAGCTACTAATTTGAATGCCTGCATCAGATCCTTGGAGAGAAAATTGAGTTCAAAATCTTATTTAGGGCTGGGAATGTGGCTAAGTGTAGAGTGCTTACCTAGCATGCATGAAGCCCTGGGTTTGATTCCTCAGTACCACATAAATAAAAAAAGCCAGAAGTGGTAGAGTCCTAGTCTTGAGCAAAAGAAGCTCAGGGACAGTGTCCAGGTCCTGAGTTCAAGCCCAGAACTGGCAAAAAACCCAAAAACCAAACCAAACCAAAACAGAAAAAACTTAAGAGGTGCAAGCCCCCCATAACCTACCATCTTTGGACTTTTGGTCCTTTTTGTGGAATTAGGATAGCAGATTTCTCTTTCTATTGGTGTGATGTTTAACATCACAGTTACCTTGGAGTCAGATGAATGTCCGTAAACATGGACCTTTACCAGCTGGTTTAATTATTACTTTCATTCTCCTAACTTGCTCTAGGCAACCTTGACTTGAAGCCTCCCCCATCTTGCTGGTCTTTTGATTTTCTGGAGTCTCTGGCTGCCTCATTCTTTGACGTGAGTACCAAAGATGATGCTTTGCTTTGCTCTCTACCTGGGGCTCCAAACAAGGAAATCTTGAGCCCTTTCCTTCCTTTATAAGGGACTATCTCAGAAGAGGTTTGGAAGCCTGTTTTTTTTTTTTTTTTTTGTCAGTTGTGGGGCTTGAACTCTGGGTTTGAGCTCTGTCCCTCAGCTTTTCAGCTCAAGGCTAGCTAGCACTCTATCACTTGAGCTACAGTGCCACTTCCGGTTTTTGAGTGGTTTATTGAAGATAAGAGTTTCTCAGACTTTCTTGCCTGGGCTGGCTTTGAACTGTGATCCTCAGATCTCAGCCTCCTGAGTAGCTAGGATTACAGGCATGAGCCACAGGTGCCCAGCGGAAGCCTGTTATCTTTTATTCTTTCCTTTTTTCCTTCCTTTTCTCTCTCTCCCTCTCTCTTCCTCCCTCTCTCTCTTTTATTTTTGGGGTTGCTAAGGATCTGGGCTCTGCTAGGCAAGCACTCCACTGCTGAGCTATTCCCCTAAGCCCTGTTCTCTGAGCTTTGAAACTATTTCTAGAGAAAATCAACTTAATTACTTCAGGGAAAGTTGTAATCTGCTTTATTTTCTCTCCCTTTGTTTGTTTGTTTTTTTTATTTTCTTTCCTGGTTGGTCATGTGGCCTGAACTCTGGGCCTGGGCGCTGTCCTTCAGCTCAAGGCTAACACTCTACACTTAAGCCAAAGTATTACTTTTGGCTTTTTCTGCTTATGTGGTGCTGAGGAATCGAACCAGGGCCTCATGCATGCAAGGCAAGCACTCTACCACTGAGCCACCTTCCCAGCCCCTCTACCTTTTTAAAAAGTTACTGCACATTAATTGTACAAGGGATTTTCCTTGTAGTGAATAGAGGCTCTTACTTGGTGACTTAAGACTCACCTAGAGTCTGTGACTTTGAAGGAATAAGGCCTTTGTGGACATATTGTTTTAACCTTTATATCTCTGTCACAAGTACCTACTTCAGGGCCATGTTTGCCATAAATGCTCCTGTGCTGCTCAGTCAGTGTGAACCTTCTAGCCTTCCGTAAACTGAGATCTTGTCTTCGAGTCATGATGTGTTCTAATTCTAGTGGAAGATGTTTGTCACCTGTTTGATTTCTACCGCCCATCTTGCCCCTAGTAGTAGACTCCTGATCCTTCAGAAGAGGGACCATGCTGGATATAGTGGTCACCTTTTTACCACCAGGACAAGAGGTTGGTTATGTGGGAGTGGGAAGAATAACCATGGACAAAATTTAGAGACCACTTATGACTTGGTATAGGTAAGATTGGCAGCTTGCAATTTGATGAAAGGAAGCCAGGCTACTCTTCTGTAACCAAAGCAGACTCTTTAAGTTGGACATCCAAAAAAGTGACATCTTCGATGCTAAGACAACCCAAGAATAATTTGCAATACATTTCAGGCAGGAGGTATGTTTAGAGGGCACAGGAGCGATGCAGCAGTGACCATTATGGACAGGGCTACATACTCATGAACCTTTCAGTGTGCTAGGGGAGGCAGATTTTATACAAATAACTGTAAATGACACAAAGGTGACAATTACAAAAGCTCAGCATGCTACAGAGTACAAGGGTGCTATGGGAGTATATAAGCAAAGGACTGAGTTTGCCCTGAAGGAGTCAGGGATCTGTACCCTATGAGGAGAAATGTACTGGCTAGATAATGTAGATCGGAAGCAGGGGGACCTTATCATTGATAGGAAACAGGTACTGTGCAGTTTCCTCGCCTGATCTGTTTAGAAGGCAAAGATTCTTGCATAATGGAGTGGATGATTACCCCAGCATGGGGGTAGAAGTGCATCCATTGTGAGAGGCAGAGAAGTTTGCCATGTCGAGTTGAGGGTAGTGGGAGATGGCAGAGAAGGTTGGCCAGGTATGTATGTCTCCATGTGCATGTGTGTGTGGCAGTGATGTTAGGAGGTGTAGCATTTTGCTGTCTCTGGTGGGTGTGAGCCTAGGATGCTGTAAGCCAAAGCACTGTGTGATGTACTAGGCAGCCAGACTCCTTTCCTGAATTCTTCCCCTTCCCACTGTTGCGCAATTGGGATTGAGGAAAATGCCTTTGACCTCTCCCCAGCCTATAGAAAGCCAAGTGAAGCAGGAGTGGTAGAAGAGTTCTGGCCGGGGGCACTTACTGCCTGCCTTCTCCTTCTGCCTCCTCTAGAGTTGGCTATTCCAATTATAGCACCAGGGCCAGGAAAAGGTGTGGTTACTGTACATTGGGCATCTTCTATCCTGATTCCTTCTTCTTGGATATGACTGGCATATCAGCCTCTGAAGCCTCTCCTACTACAACAAAACAAAAACAACTAAAAATTGACCATTGTGAATTTGACTTTTCTTTTCTTTTGATCTTGTTTGTCAGGGCCTGGGTGCACTAGCTCAAGGCTAGTACTCTACCACTTTGAGCCACAGCTCCACTTCCAGTTTCCTGGTGGTTAATTGGTGATAAAAGTCTCACAGCCTTTCCTGCCTGAGCTGGATTTGAACTGCCTTTGAGACCTGATCTTCAGGTCTCAGCCTCCTGAGTAGTTAGGATTACAGGCATGAGTGAACCACCAGCATTCAGCTCACTCTTTCTGGAGTGGGGAATACCAGGGTTTAAACTTATGTCTTGGTACTTGCTAGCTAGGTGTTCCACTACTTGAGACACTTATGAGAAAGAGTCTTGCTCTATATCTGGGTTGGGCTAGATGGGGCTCCTTCCTTTTGTACTTTCCTGTATGAACGAGATGACAGGCCATGCCCATCTCGAGATGGACTCTCCAGAATCCCTTCTTCCATTCCCCTGCCCCAACCCTGGCTAGGTTGGCCTCCAATCATAATCCCCCCATCTCAGCCTCCTAAGTAGCTAGGATTATAGACTTATAGGGCTCATGCTTGAACCCTATTTTTCTGTACTCAGCATCTTATTGCTGAAGTTAGCAACTCTGCTTTCACAAGGTGAAGGGTTCTGTTGGAGGGGCTGAGCAAGACTCCCAGGAATCCTTTCTGGTATGTTGTGGGTTACAGTGGGCTATGAGGGAGCATTTACATACCTGCTGGTGCTTCTCATGCTCCTGAGAAGGGATCTTGCAGATATAAATAAAACTTACAATTGGTTGTTTGTAGGTTAATCAAAAAGGCGATGACTGGACACCTGTGGCTCACTCCTAGCTACTCAGGAGGCTGACATGTGAAAATAGCAGTACAAAGCCTACTTGGGCAGATGAATCTGTGAGACTTTTATCTCCAAATGGAAACCCTTTAAAGGATTTGCACACAGTTCTAAAACTCATGGCTCTGATCTACTCCTTTCCTTTACCCTGCTTAGCCACCTGCCATAATTATGTGAGCCAGTTGACCAATTCCTTATGATAAATCAATTTTTATGTATTTTCTTTTTTTTTTTGGGTCTGGTTGTGGGACCTGAATGGGCCTGGGCGCTGTCCCTCAGTTCTTCAGCTCAAGGCTAGCGCTCTAGCACTTGAGCCACAGTGCCACTTCCGGCTTTTTTCTTTTTGCTTATGTGGTGCTGAGGAATCGAACCCAGGGCCTCAGGCATGCAAGGCAAGCGCTCTACCACTGAGCCACCTTCCCAGCCCCAATTTTTATGTATTTTCTAATGTTATATGTAATATAAAGACTATCTCTCTATATATGTAATCTACTGATCCTCATTCTGAACTCTGTAAACACCATTCCTCCTATACCAGTTGCTTAGCATATTTTAAGATTCTGCTTCTTAGAAAGCTAGTTAATTAGAGATTAGAATCTCATGGACTTTACTGTCCAGGCTGACTTTAAATGGAAAGCCTCAGTTCTTAGCCTCCTGAGCAGCTAGGATTGCACTCTTTCTGGTGCAGCCCTTTGTTTGGATACAGGAGCCCCGCTGAAGCAGTGGAGAGGCAGGGGAGTGGATGTCTTTCTGTGAGCTGGTGCTATCGGGCCTTCAGAGGTGCTTCTCAGTCTCAGGCCTATAGGTGAGGCTGAAAGGCTAGAAGGGGCTGGTGATTCTCGCCTTCAACATGATTAGGCTCTGATACACAGTACCCTGAAAGCAGGCCTTGAGAAGAACAGAGGTCTCCTATTTCCAAATGGCTATGTTTCCCACCTCTCTGTCAGAAGCACCAGGTAATATTGTAAGTAGTTTAATGTGTGGACCTCAGTCAGGCCCTGAGCTCCCCAAGTACTGCCTCCTCCCCTGCTTTTTTTTTTTTTTTTTCCTGATCCTGGGGCTTGAACTCCAGGCCTGGACACTGTTCCTGAGCCTCTTTGTGATCAAGGCTAGTACTCTACCACTTGAGCCACAGCGTCTCTTCTGACTTATTCTGATTACAGTATTGGAGGTAAGAGTCTCATGAACTTTCCTGCCCTGGTTGGCTTCAAACTGCAATCCTCAGATCTCAGCTTCCTGAGTAGCTAGGATTACAGGTGTGAGCCACTAGTGCCTGGCTTGCCTTATCCCTTTTTCTAGTGTCTTCCAAAGCATGATGACACATAGGGTTAGCCACCAGCAGGTGCTGAGAAAGTGCATGTTAGGGTCCCATTGCTCAGTCATAACCCTCACAAGGGTTACCCCAGCCAAATGAGAAAATGCCAGGAGCTGGTGAAAGCTGGCAGAACCTTGGAGACAGGTTTGATTTGGAGGATAGTCCTCGCTCTTCCTCTGTCCCTTAGGACCACAGTTTGGTCTAGAAGCAAGATGGAGGCTGACTTGTCTGGCTTTAACATCGATGCCCCCCGCTGGGACCAGTGCACCTTCCTCGGGCGAGTGAAGCACTTCTTTAACATCACAGATCCCCGCACTGTCTTAGTATCAGAGCAGAAGCTGGACTGGGCCAAGGTCATGGTGGAAAAAAGCAGGTGAGTGGTTGGGTGGGAGAGGCAGTACTAATCATGGGAGCCTCTTGGGAGAGAGAGAAACAGATGGTGAAGAATATGCTGCAGGCTGGGAATATAGCTTAGTGGTGAGTGCTTATCTAGCATGCATGAAGCCCTGGGTCCGATTCCTCAGTACCACATAAACAGAAAAAGTTGGACATGGTGCTGTGGCTCAAGTGGTAGAGGGCTAGACTTGAGCAAAAGAAGCTCAAGGACAGTGCCCAGGCCTTGAGTTCAAGCCCAGGACTGGCAAAAAAAGAAAAGGAGAATATGCTGCAGTCTCAGGAAGGAGAGATGAGAGCAAGGTGCTGGGAAGTGTAGCTAAGGCTGGGTGGTAACTGTCTGTTGTCGTTGGGTGACAGGATGGGGATCATACCCCCAGGCACCGAAGTGGAGCAGCTGCTCTATGCCAAAAAGCTGTATGACTCAGCCTTCCACCCTGACACTGGGGAGAAGATGAACGTCATTGGGCGGATGTCCTTCCAGGTCCCTGGGGGCATGATCGTCACTGGCTGCATGCTCCAATTCTACCGGTGCGTCCTGGGGCCTGGGTCTGCTGGGCGGAGCGCCAGCTTGATGAGAGGTACCAGACACTGTGCTAAGCTCTTTCCATGCATTGCCTCATTTAACACTCTCGACAACTCTACACATAGGTAGTATTTTCATTTTCATTTGATAGATGGTGATCTGAGTTGCCTGTCCAAGTTCTATGGGTGCCTGGACTTTAACACACATGCTCTCCTCTTGGGCTTAGCAAATAGACTATCCAAACTGCTTCTTTTAAAAAAATGCTTATTCCACAATGAATTTTATTTTCCTACTGTAATATCCAAACAAAAAAATAACTAGACCCTTTCTCTTGGCATGGTTGGGGAGGGAGAAACTTTCTGTGTAGCTGCTGGATGTGTGACTCTTTCTCCTCCTACCTCCTTCCTCCCCCTCCTCCCTTCTCCCTCCTCCCTCTTCTTTTTTCCCTCCACCCTCTTCCTTCTCTTTCCTCTCTCTGCCTTTTCCTACCCTTTGCATTCATTTATTCAGTTATTGAGCCAGGCCTTGGGCCAGGTGCTGGGGATACAAAGACTTTAGTCTCTCTCCTCAAGGAGCTTTGTTGAGGAGGCCGAGTAAACAGTTAGAGTGCAGCCTGGTAAGTGGTAGGTTGGGGGAAGAAACTGGGGTGTGGGAGCAGGGAATGTGGAATGGCAGACTCAGAAGGACCGGAGGAAGGGTGGGAAGGTTTCAAGGAGGCAGTGATCTCCATGGAAGGAGGGGGGTGGATGAAGCAGAGGGCCTAACCCATGGAGAAGCCAGAGTATATAAAACAGCATGAGAACAGCTTAGAGAACTGCAGATGATGTGGAAACCGGTGGACGCCATGACATCCTCCCATCCTCTGCCCCTCCTGGTCTCTGGTAGGACCATGCCGGCGGTGGTCTTCTGGCAGTGGGTGAACCAGTCCTTCAATGCCTTGGTCAACTACACCAACAGGAATGCAGCTTTGCCCATATCAGTCAGGTGAGAGGCCTGGACGCTAGACTGTGCTCCTGCCTTCCCATGTTCCCCCAGCAGCAGCCTTGCCAAAGAGCTCCTGGGTTATTGCTCCTCCCTAGGTGGGCTCCACACTGGGTAAGTGACCAAGTCACTTTTATCAGTTTGGAAATATTTTCTTTGAGACCCTATCTCCAAACAGATTCCCCCCTCTTTCTCCCCCCCACCCCGGTTCTGGGACTTGAACTCAGGGCCAGGGCACTGTCCCTGAGCTTCTTTTGCCCAAGGCTAGCACTCTACCACTTGAACCACAGTGCCACTCCTGCTTTTTTCGAACCCAGGGCTTCATGCATGCTACCACTCTACCACTCAAGCACTCTACCACTAAGCCACAATCCCAGCCCAAGAGTTTGGAAATATTTTCTTGGGCTGACTGGGAATGTTTTCTATCTGGACCATTTAAAAATATATTCAGTCATTCATCTAACAAATTTCTCGTGTGTGTAGTATTTGCTGGATAAGATCATAGGAACTGGAGATGCCCTGATGAATTAAGGCATTGTTGTTCCTGTTCTGGTGGAGTATAAGGCCTTTTTCGTTGTTGTTGGTTTTGGTTGTGTGGCTTGAGCTCAGAACCTGGACACTGTCCCTGAGCCTCTTTGTGCTCATGTCTAGCACTCTACCACTTTGAGTCACAGTGCCACTTCTGGTTTTTTAGTGGTTAATTGGAGATAAGAGTCTCACAGGAGCTGGGCACCAATGGCTCACGCTTGTAATCCTAGCTACTCAGGAAGCTGAGATCTGAGGATCGTTGTGCAAAGCCAGCCTGGGCAGGAAAGTCCATGAGACTCATCTCCAATAAACCACTAGAAAACCGGAAGTAGTACTGTGGCTCAATCAGTAGAGCACTCGCCTTGAGCTGAAGAGCGCAGGGACAGTGCTCAAGCCCAGAGTTCAAGCCCCACAACTGCCAAAAAAGAAAAAGAAAAAAGAGTCTCACAGGGACTTTTCTGCCCAGGCTAGCTTCAAACCATGATCCTCAGATCTCAGCCTCCTGAGTTTCTAGAATTATAGGTGTGAGCCACTGGTACCCTGCTGAGGTTACATTATATTTGTAATCCCAGCTCTTTGAGGCTGAGGCAAGAGAATTTCAAGTTGAAGGCCTGGCTGGGCATAGTAAGACCCTGTCTTTAAAAAAAAAAAAAAAGGAGGGGCTGGGAAGGTGGCTCAGTGATAGAGCGTTTGCCTTGCAAGCCTGAGGCCCTGGGTTCGATTGCTCAGCACCATATAAGAAAAAAGAAAAAAGCCAGAAGTGGTGCTGTGGCTCAAGTGGTAGAGCGCTAGCCTTGAGCTGAAGAGCTGAGGGACAGCGCCCAGGCCCAGAGTTCAGGCCCCACAACCGGACCCCAAAAAAAAAAAAAGGGGTTGGGAAGGTGGCTCAGTGGTAGAATGTTTGCCTTGCATGCATGAGGCCCTGGGTTCGATTCCTCAGCCCCACATAAGCAAAAAGAAAAAAGCCAGAAGTGGCGCTGTGGCTCAAGTGGTAGAGTGCTAGCCCTGCCCAGGGTTCAGGCCCCATGACCAAACACCCCCCCCCAAAAAAAGACAAAGATAGTAGTCTTGGATTGGGGTTACTGCCATTAAGGACATCTACATGGTGGGTGAGAAGACAATGAGTAACAAAGGGGTGCAGAGGGGTGTCCAGGGAGGTATTCCTACCTGTAGAGGTGACATGTCAGCTGAAGGGTAAAGAGTCAGCCATACAAGAAACCACAGGCAACCACAGCAGGTAAGAGTTTCTAAGGCTGGATAGAACTTGATGTGTTTAAAATACAGAAAGAGGGCTGGGAATGTGGCTTAGTGGTAGAGTGCATGCATAAAGCTGGGGTTCCATTCCTCAGTACCACATAAACAGAAAAAACAGGAAGTGGCACTGTGACTCAAGTCGTAGAGTACTAGCTTTGAGCCAAAAAAGCTCAGGGATGACACCCAAGTCCTGAGTTCAAGCCCTAAAACAGCACTCCCCTCCCGCCCCCCCCCCAAAAAAAAATCATAAAATACCGAAAAAAGGCCAAGACATTGAGAGTGGTGAAGTGAAGGCCTTGCCTTAGACATATGGGTGTCCACACCCAACATCTGTGCTTTCATCCACCTTGCTTTCTCTCTCCTCCACTAGGCAGATGGCCCTCTCCTACTTCACAGCCACCACTACTGCCTTGGTCACTGCTGTGAGCATGAACATGTGGACAAAGGTAAGATTGGGAGAAGGTCATGCATTGTTCAGGTGACCACCAGGGGGCAGCCAAGTCCCAGGGAAAATAGCATGGCTGGCTTTGGGATTGGTCCTTCTTAGACCTTGGTAGGAATCTTAGTTTCCCAGATTGGATGTCTGGAGTTATAGCAGTAGCAGAGTTTCATTGTCTTTCTTTATAATCCTTAATCCCTCTGTATTTTCATCTTGTCACGAGTTTGAACAACTCCCATTGTTCCTGCCCTCAACAGAGAGCTCCACCCTTGGTGGGCCGCTGGGTGCCCTTTGCTGCTGTGGCTGCAGCTAACTGTGTCAATATTCCAATGATGCGACAGCAGTGAGTACGGGTTCCCTTTCCTCCCTCCACACCACAGGCCTTGCTGGTCAAGGCAAGAAACCAAGGTAGTAGTCAGATTTCAACGGCTGAGCTGGTGGGGTTTGTGCTGATCTCTGAAGGATCGCTGAAGAGATCTCTGGTATTGGGCCCAGGAGTGGTGGGTAACTTAGGGTTACTCAGTGTGTTGAGTGGATAAGGGATTTTTTTCACATGGTGGGAGTTGGGGAGCAAGTGTGGATCTATCAGATTTTAGTCTAGATTTTGTCCTTTCAACTGAAAGGGTGTTTGGGTTGTGAGCTCTGCCTACTTCCAAAGCCCTGGGAATAACTTACTGAATTCAGTGTAGCATGCCTGACGATAGAACAGAACCAGGAAGCTTTGAGCAAAGCCAGAAGAGTAGACAAGTTCTCCAGGCACTGTAACACCAAGCTTTTAGAGGAAAAGTAAGAGAGAAACTCATTAGATCTTAACAGTGTTCATTTCTTTCCTGGTACTGGGGATCAAACTCACGTTCCAGGCAAGTGCTATTCCACTGAGCTACACCCATGGCTCAGTTTTTGTTTGTTTTTTTGTTGGTTGTTGGGCTTAAACTGTGGGCTTAGGTGCTGTCTCTGAGTTCTTTTGCTCAAGGCTAGCACTATACTACTTTTAGCTATAGCACCACTTCTGGTTTTCTGATAGTTGATTGGGGAAAGTTTCATAGATTTTTCCTGCCCAGGCAGGCTTTGAATTGCAATTCTCATTTTTTTTTTTTTTTTGGTCAGTCGTGGGTCTTAAACTCTGGGCCTGGGGCTGTCCCTCAGCTCATCAACTCAAGGCTAGCACTCTACCACTTGAGCCACAGCACCACTTCTGGCTTATGTGGTGCTGAGGAATTGAACCCAGGGCCTCAGGCATGCAAGGCAAGCACTCTACCACTGAGCCACCTTCCCAGCCCCCCTAGTTTTTCTTTTCTTTTTTTCTCTGTCTCTGTCCCTCTGTCTGTCCGTCTGTCTCTCTCTCTCTCTTTTTGCCAGTCCTAGGGCTTGAACTCAGGGCCTGGGCACTGTCCCTGGATTTTTTTTGCTCAAGTCTAGCATTCTACCATTTCAGCCATAACACCACTTCTGGCTGTTTCTGTTTATGTAGTGCTGAGGAATTGAACCCAGGGCTTCATGCTTGCTATGCAAGCACTCTAATACTAAACCACATTCCCAGCCCCTAGTTTTTCTTTTCTTTTGTTTTTTTTTTGTCAGTCGTGGGGGTAAAACTCAAGCCCTGGGCACTGTCCCTGAGCTCTTCTGCTCAAGGCTAGGGCTCTACCACTTGAGCCACAGCTCTATTTCTGGTTTTGAGGTGGTTTATTGGAGATAAGAGTTTCTTGGATTTTCCTGCCCTTACTGGCTTCGAACCACAGTCCTCAGATCTCAGGTTTTTGAGTAGCTAGAATTAAAGGGATAAACCACCAGCACCCAACTCTTTTTTTTTTTTTTTTTTGGTCGGTTGTGGGGCCTAAACTCTGGGCCTGAGCACTGTCCCTCAGCTCTTCAGCTCAAGGCTGGCGCTCTGCCACTTGAGCCACAGCACCACTTCTGGCTTTTTCTGCTTATGTGGTGCTGAGGAATCGAGCCCAGGGCCTCATGCACACAAGACAAGCACTCTACCACTGAGCCACATTTCCAGCCCTCTTTCTTTTTCTTTGCTAGTCCTGGCACTTAAACATGGCCTGGGTGTCATCCCTGATTCTTTTTCTCAAGGCTAGTGTTCTAGAACTTGAGCCACAGTGCCATTTCTGACTTTTTCTGAGCAGTTTATTGGAGATGAGTCTCATGGACTTTCCTGCCTGGGCTGGCTTCAAACTGCAATCCTTAGATCTCACCCTCTTGAGTAGCTAGGATTACAGGTATGAGCCACTGGTGCCTGGCTTTATTTCTCCTGATAGTCAGTTTTTGTTTCTTGACTAATGAGTACAGATTTGCCTCCCTGCTTTGAGGTTATAATGTTATAGTAGCACCTAGAATGTAACAGGCTGTGTATGCATTAGCTATTGTTGCTACCATTATCTTAGTTAATATCTGGCTGGCAGATATTCTCATTTAATCCTCACTTAGTTCCATGAAGTGAGTGTCCAGGATCATCCTCATTTTGCAGATGTGGTGAACTGAGGCTATTGTAGGATTAAGGACTGTGCTCTGCAGTTTCAGGAGTCAGCTAGGCAGTAGGAGTCTAGTGCTGGCTCTCTTAGCTACTGCCCTTGATTATTCTGAGATACTGAATGGTATCTGCAGTACAGGAAGGAAGTCAAAGGGCCAAGAGGAGGAGGAGGCTTTCTAGAACTTGAGTGTCCTTGGTCCTCTGCTTTATCACATGCCTGGCCAGCTCTGAACAATTGCTGTTTATGTTTAGGGAACTCATCCAAGGTGTCTGCGTGAAAGACAAGAATCAGAATGAGCTTGGCCCTTCTCAGGTAAGCTGAGGCCCTCAGGAGAGAATTCTTTCCCTGAACTCCTTAGTGATCAGAGCAGACTTGGTCATCATTATAGAGTTGAGAAGGTTAACCCCGAAGTGGGCCCCAATTCCCAAAAAAATTTCCCCAAAACAACCCTTTTTTTTTTTTTAAGCATAAAATCAGTTGTACGAGGGGTGGCTTCATTCCATGAGACTCATCTCCAGTACATCTGTAGGATGCATCCAAATCAACCTCACCCCCTCTCTCACTCTCCCTTTCCCCCTCCCACTTGTTAAGACAAGTTTATCAGGTTTTATTGTTCTCTTTCACACATGCAAACAAACTACTTGGACCCTGTTCATCCTTGCTCACTCTCTTAATCCTTCCAGTGGTATCTCCCCACCTCCCACCAATTTTTGCTTTTCTATTGTTCATCTTTTCTAAAAAGCTGGTGTGTATTAATTGCACCAACGGTTTCATCTTGGTATTTCTGAAGTGCCTATGTGGGCTGGGAATGTGGCTTAGTGGTAGAGTGCTTGCTTAACAAGCACGAAGCCCTGGATTCAATTCTTCAGTACCATGCCAACAGAAAAAGCCAGAAATGGCCCTGTGGCTCAAGTAGTAGAACACTAGCCTTGAACAAAAAGAAGCTCAGGTATAGTGCCCACCACTGAGTTCAAGCCCCAGGACTGGCAAAAAAGGAAAAAAGAAAAGAAAAAGAAAAGTGCATATGTTATATTTTGCTCAGAATAATTCTCTCTATTGCTCCCCCCCTTTTTTTTTGTCGGTTGTGGGGTCTGAACTCTGGGCCTGGGTGCTGTCCCTCAGCTCTTGAGCTCAAGGCTAATGCTCTACCACTTGAGCCATAGCACTACTTCCGGCTTTTTCTGCTTATGTGGTGCTGAGGGATCGAACCCAGGCCTCATGCATGCAAGGCAAGCATTCTACCACTGAGCCACCTTTCCAGCCCCCCTTCCCCTTCTTTTGATGAACAGCTTTCATTGGAGAGTCCTTACATCACTTCTAGTGCTAGAGCCAGGTCAGCCTGGGCCATGACCTAGCCCCACAGTACAGCCCGTGTGTACTGGACAGGTCATTCCTGACCACTGATCTCTTAATCTTTTCTGCCCTCAGAGAGCTGCAGCCATAGGCATCACCCAAGTGGTTATTTCTCGGATCACCATGGCGGCTCCTGGCATGAGTAAGATGGGGAACCCCCTATCCTGAAGACCCTGGAACCCACGTGCCTCAGCCACACTCAGTTATGGGGGGGGGATGTCTGCTTCCACCGTAGTGCTACTCAAACTGCTTTGTGTGAGACTGGAAGCCCATACGAGCTCCTATAACCTCATTTCTCCAGAGAGGCTAGGGGGAGTTATTTTCATCTACCTGACACTCGATGCTGGCCAGTGCAGGCTACTAGGGAGACAGTGATAGGGAGAAGAAATCTCCTGCCTTGATTTGCTTCCAGCACGGTCCATTACAGAATAGGACACAACATTTATTTGCATGAGCCTTCAAATAGTTTTTAATTTTCAGAGAGACACTTTGGTCTTAGTGGCATGGGTCTTTGTAATATAACTATTACATTTGCACATTTGAGAAATTTTGTTTTCCTTTGTTCCAGTAATGGGACTTGAACTCAAGGCCATGTGCTGCCCCTTGGCTTTTTTCACTCAAGGCCAGCACTCTACCACTTGAGCCATACTTCCACTTCTAGTTTTTTTTTT